ATTTTGGCTCGAGATATTCGTTTTGCACCATACATACAAGTAAACTTCATTATTCTCATGTTCCATCAAATCCGCAATTTTACAGCTATATAATTATTACTCTTATGTTTATACAGGATGTCAGAAATTATGTTTCGCCATTTAATGATTCATGCTATCCTCACAAAGAACTGAGAAAAATACTTAAAAGCATCGGATTTGAGGTTTGCCATTGCAGTCTTCGCGAAACGACATATTCCTCTAAAGATACCAGCAATTTTATAAGTAAGTTATTTTTAAAACAATGTAAAAATTAAATTTTATGTGGTTATTATCACATTATAAGTTGTAAGTTTTGCTGCAACGTTCTTTTTTTATTTACTTAAATCTTAATTCAGTTCTGATAATTTAATTTAATCTTAATGAATTATTTTGGTAGCTTCGATGATATCCATCTACTCATTTTTGGACAAAATGCCACATGATCTGAAAGAAGAATTCAAGAACGAATATACACGTAAATTTGAGGAAAAAATGATTACTTATAAAACAATACAGAATAATCAAACACAAACATTTATGTTAGATCTATATATAAACTCTTTATAGTTTATGCACAAAAAGTTGTATAACAGCATTGCATATATATATAAATATATATACAAAATGCCACATGATCTGAAAGAAGAATTCAAGAACGAATATACACGTAAATTTGAGGAAAAAATGATTACTTATAAAACAATACAGAATAATCAAACACAAACATTTATGTTAGATTTATACAAACTCTTAATAGTTTATGCACGAAAAGTTCTTGAATTCTTCTTTCAGATCATGTGGCATTTTGTATATATATTTATATATATATGCAATGCTGTTATACAACTTTTTGTGCATAAACTATAAAGAGTTTATATATAGATCTAACATAAATGTTTGTGTTTGATTATTCTGTATTGTTTTATAAGTAATCATTTTTTCCTCAAATTTACGTGTATATTCGTTCTTGAATTCTTCTTTCAGATCATGTGGCATTTTGTATATATATTTATATATATATGCAATGCTGTTATACAACTTTTTGTGCATAAACTATAAAGAGTTTATATATAGATCTAACATAAATGTTTGTGTTTGATTATTCTGTATTGTTTTATAAGTAATTATTTTTTCTTCAAAATTACGTGTATATTCATTCTTGAATGCTTCTTTTAAATCATGTGGCATTTTGTCCAAAAATGGGTAGGTAGACATTACCGAAGCTACCAAAATAATTCATTAAGATTAAATTAAATTATCAGAACTGAATTAAGATTTAAGTAAATAAAAAAAGAACGTTGCAGCAAAACTTACAACTTATAATGTGATAATAACCACATAAAATTTAATTTTTACATTGTTTTAAAAATAACTTACTTACAAAATTGCTGGTATCTTTAGAGGTTTCTCTAAATCTTTAGAGGATTTTAGAGTTGTTTCTCGAAGACTGCAATGGCAAACCTCAAATCCGATGCTTTTAAATATTTTTCTCAGTTCTTTGTGAGGATAGCATGAATCATTAAATGGCGAAACATAATTTCTGACATCCTGTATAAACATAAGAGTAATAATTAAACGTTTATAGCTGTAAAATTGCGGATTTGATGGAACATGAGAATAATGAAGTTTACTTGTATGTATGGTGCAAAACGAATATCTCGAGCCGAAATATTCATAATAATATATGTCTCATGAGATGCTACCAAATTCAAAAGTATATTCCCACCAGATCGAATCATACGATAAATATTCCCAAACGCTTGTCTGTTAAATAAAACACAGATGAGCGTAATTAATTTTTGAAGCTTTTATGCTTATTGCGATTTTCAGTTTCAATTTTTAATAAAGCTCTTAAAATAGATGTAACTATTTTAATGAAATGTTAAGCTAATATATTAAACTCTTACTTCTCTCTCTTTGAAAATATGTTATAATGCGATAGAACTGTTAAAAAATATTATAAAAAAAAATTTTTTGTGTAGTTAAATATTTAAAAATTTACATTAAAATTACAAAACTTAACTTTATTTTAAACATTTTTACAAATTGATAGAATGTATAATATAATATATTATATATTGATATAATATACTTTTAATAATTTCATAACTTTAGAAAAAAAGAAGTGTTATTCTTTTGTTTAAGAAATTTACATTTGTTTATATATAAAATTGCAATACTTTGAAAAGCATT